GCATAAGGCTCAGCAAGACACAGTTTTTGGCATGCACAACATACCAAAGGTTAAGTAAAAACTTCTGGTTAGGTGACCACTACGTGTGACCCCTTCCAACATACTCTATAGGAAGCAACAAGAGACCAGGCACACCCAGGACACACGGACAGAGTGGGGCTGTGCACCTGAGACATAGAAGACTCAAACTGAAGGCCCCATCAGGAGCAGTAAGCTCAAAAGCCTTTTCCTCTCATTCCCTATGGGGATGGGGAATCAGGAGGTTCCCATCCCAAGCTAAAATTCCACCCTGGGTCTCGGATGATTCCACCTTTTCCACAGACATGGAAAACTTTGGTTTCCATTACTTTGACTTTTCCAATAAAAACTGAAGACCTGCTTAGAATTTTGTTTGCGGTCTACAGTTCCAACATCGACCACAAGAGGGTAGGAGAAGAGGTCCCTTTGCCCCTGCGTGGGACGGAGCCCACGGCAAAGAGTTTCCTTGCGTTTTCAGAAACACCGCAGCAGCAGGAACCGGCAATGGTAAGAATATTCCTGTAACTTCTACAAACAGTCAGAAAAAGGATGTCAAACGCGTTAGAGCTCAGCCACGTACAAGTTTCACAGCAGCGTGCAACAGGGAACGCTGGGGAGCTGGGTGTGGGGCCACGGATGAAGGCAGCACACGAAACAAGGGGAGGTGAAGTCAGAGATTGACTCTGGTCGGGGGGGAAGCTGAAGCTTTTAAGTGAAAATGTTTCATGCACAGAAAGTTGAGTTTTTTACCTTAAATTTTCACATGTAACTTGGAGGTGTGAGGAATTCAAGAACCAGAACACAGACAAAACCTACAAGATTTAGTGGGGGTTTTGGTTGGGTTTTTTTTTATTTGGGCTTTTGGGGTTTTTCACTTTTCACAAAAATCCCAATTTTTGCACTTTTGGGATCCGCTCACATTGTGATACAAAGCCTGAATTTCATTTTTTTTAAACCATAGTATGCCCAAGCAAAGATTAGTTTTGAAAAATATCAATGCCGTCTTGCTAGAGAAAACAACACATTCTATTACTAAAATGGGAAGAATAATAAAATATTGGATACATGGTCGGTGCCGTGTGTTGCCTAATGAGTATTTGTCAAGCCCAGAAGCCTGGCAAGCATTTGCTGAAGAAAAGCAAAGATCTGGAAGAACTTCTCAAGCACCAGCAAGGGCTGCAGGCTGGACCTGCTAATAGTGTAGTTTTTTTTCTTAGATCAAGTGACATTTTCTTTTTGTAAAACCTACAAATTCCACTATCAGTTCTCAACACTTGTACAATGATCTTGTCAAAAAAAAAGAGTCTGAACCCACCATTTTCTGGGTCTCTCCATGTTAGTACCTTCCTCAGTTTTTTCACATTGATGTCTACTGAAATGTCTCCACCTGCTTCATGTTTAGGCTGGAGGATGGTTTTCAGTATCATGTGTTTTACTAAATCAGCTTCAGAACAAGAAATATTAAGGTGGCTCTGGGTACTCTTCCAAGCAGGCTGATAGCTTACCAACATCATTCTCACACTAACAAGTGCCCAAGAGTAAATCAAGTATGTGATGTATTTTTAGTAAGACTGTATTGCAGGAAATTCATCCATTTCCTGATCTGTGACTTTACCAGGTATTGGATTACCCACGCGTCCGATCGCATCCCCATTGCTCTGGCTGATACTGTTTTCTGATAGTTGCCTCCAGATACACACCTTTGCGCACGCAATCCAAGCCATACTGGCTTACAGTTTCTGTAACATCACATTTAGTGAAGGGGGCTTCTGCAAAACCCTTCTCAGCGTTGCAGCTTCCCAAACAAACCTCTGCTGTAATAAATCTTGTGAATGTTCTCACAAAAATAAATTTAACTCAGAAAATACCATAGAAATTGTCTCCCCACCTTACAGATTTTGTGTTCACAGTGAGCTCTTCTAAACTTTCCCCAGGCACAGCTATTTAATGCAGAAACAAGTAAGTAAAAATACCATCTTTCTGCAGAAGGCATAGTTCCAACACTGTTTTAACTGCAGAGACCTTAGTAGCTTCAGATACCTCCAAAAGGTGACGATGCTGTAGTCAAGGGCTTTTTAAATCATGATACCCGTAGTCCTACAGACCTAGCCCTATATAGCCCTATAAATGTAGCCCTAATTTTACTGATCTTTCATAACAAAGCCTGCACATCTGAGGAGACAGACCTGGTAGTCACAACCTCATTGACTATGAAAATACAAGGGAAAAAAGGGACACGTCTTACAAATCACATCCCTGGATCCCTGAAGACTCCACAAAATAAATTTGTCCCAGATCTAAAATTATTCAGTATCTTCATTAACGGACTGGATCACAGAACAGAATATGCGTATTAAATTTGCAGGCAATACTGAACTGGGAGAGACTGGGTTGGAATTCAGAGCTTCACAAATCCGTGAGACAGGTTTGAAAAAAGCAGGGTACAATTCTGAAAGCTTAAGTGCAAATTTCTCTGGTAACACTAGTTGCAAGTCAGAGAATGATAAAATGGAGCTAGAAACTGCAGGAAAAGATCTAGTGGCTATGACAACTCACAAGTTAGCAATGAGTCAGAGTTATCATTCCACTGCAAAAAGGAGCCGTTAGTAGATTGTATAAATAGAACCAACCCTTCTCTCTAAGGAATGTGAAATAAACTTTTTACGGTGCTGCTACTGCCACAGCTGAGCACCATGTGGAGTTTTGCAGGATCCACCTGGAGAACCCAGAGACAGATGAACAGAGCTCTAGAAAACATGGCCATTGAGGAAGAGCTGATAGCTCAACATGTAAGTTTAATCCAAAGCACCGCTCCTCGCACCGGAGGCGAGAGCTAGCACACCGGGGCATGCCGTCTGGCCTGGGGTCCACATGAGGACTGTGGTAGCGAGAGCCTGGGTGGAGGCAGCACAACATGGCAAAGGAAACAAAGACCAACCCGCGAAGATGAGGAAGGGCCGCGTGTTGTAGAACGTGTGCGCATGTAGAAATAAGCCGCAGCAAGGCTTACTCCGGAACTGGGGCGGGGACCTGCTGATTTAGAGCAGTGACGGGCAATGGAACGATATCCCCGGATATAAGGGTATGCTGCCAAATGCCCTGCATCGTCAGAAGTTTTAAAGTGTATTTGTCACAAACAGTTTGAGGTGCCCTTGGAGCTAGAAGGGTAGATGAGCAAGTATTTCAAGGAATATTTTATTTGCTATTATTCTCTTTCTCAATACTACCCTGCAAGTTTAGTAGTGTGCTTTTTGGCTCCCTTATGGATTGGTACAAAGGCCTCAAACCGCTAGCATGGATTTAAGCAGCACTTCAAAAGGAACGGTTCCCATTTTAACACACTGCAGCTTATGATTATCTTTCATTTTTGCTCTAGCCGGCAGATTTCATACTATGTGACACTGCTAACAAAACAGCAAAATGTTCCTCTCTCTCCACAGATAAATTTAGGACACATATGCTTCATAAAAGCTTCAGAATTTCACTGGTAGCACTCAAGCGCTTTGTAATTTGATCCAAAAGAGGCAAGCCTAATCTAAGACAGCTAGTGTAGTTACAATGGCCAAATCCTCATGCATCCGTTTAGGACTACACTTTGTTCCTGGAAAACTCATTATAATTTTGTTCATTGTTCAAATACCTTCTGCTTTTTCTTTTTTAAGTTGTAATAATAATACAATAGTGTTCCCTAATGGTGGTTTGTCCATCGCTCTCTGTGAGTTTTCACAAAACCCTCATTAGTGTCAGAAGTGCTGAGGTCCACATTATCTTCCATAGAAACTGGAAAGCTTGCATACAACAAGCATCCCTTCCCCTGCTCTTTATCATGAATTCCACGGCCACTGCACTCAACTTAGGAATTTCACGGTTATAAGTTCTCTCTTTCCTACCTTCACTGAACTTAAAAGGGCTTTTGTGAACATACCATGTAAGGCTTGTGGCAAATTGGTGCTTCTTTCTTTTCGTTCTGAGGGGTTTGGTTGAGCATTTCCCATATTTTTCTTTCCTTTCTGCAATTTCCACATGAAGTCGCTACAGACAGCTGCAACTTCTGTACCATCCCCTCACACAGATTAAACACATTCTGCTCAGCATTTACTTCTTCAGGATGTTCTTCCACCTTTCTTTCACCGTGACGCCTGGTACAGTAGCAGCTCATGGTTTACTACTTTTAGCACCCACAAAGACTGTATATTACCTGCAGTATACAACAGTAGTGCTACATTTCTCTTCGGTGAGATAGGGAAAAAAGACATACATACATTTATACATATTTATTGTATCTTTTTAAAAGTAGCATTTGCGGTTACTTTTAAGCATTCACCTCTCTTCTGCTTCAAATGTGCACTTATTGAGAGAAACATCTACTGGCTTCCAAGTCCAAGATTAATACCGATAATAACACATGCCAGAATCAAGCGTCATTGCTTGTTGGCAGCTCCTGTCATGAAAATACTATACAGTAAGAAGAGTGTAGAAAAAGTCTATGTTAATCATTCAGCAATAGGCTGGGGCTGGATTAGCGTGACCATACCATCCTCTTGAGCTGAAGCACACCACCACTTTCCCAAAAACCGAAGCTCACACAGTAACTTTTTTCCTTTTGCATCCAGTAAGTGAGCAAGGCAGTCGGTTTTTCTATAGTAGCTTCTTTAGTTGATAAGACTTCCTCATCATCTATAGGGAAACACTTGCTGTAGACCTTTATATTTAGAAATGTCTTCTCTTCATGTAACAGCAAGAAAACACTTGAAGTCTGGCATGTAGTTAAGAGAACTGGGAACAAACCAAATTTCATCCTTGGATAAACATACGTAACTACTATAGATTTCAATCTAACCCACGCACAAAGTTTTACACATACTACAAATAGAAACAGAAGGTATCAGCAAAAGACTATTCTTACATTGTTTCAAATTAATTTGCAACTATACAATTTTAACTGTAATAGAAAAAGGGAAAGGAATATAACAGAACAGGTATGAAGAGAAATATTTTCCAAACTTTTATTTGTGCACATTCATCAGGTGAAAAAGGTAACTTTTACAGCTTCTTTGGTGCCCAATATTCAGCATACAAAAATGTAAAAGACTATTCACAAATAAAACACAAGCTCAAACTAAAAAAAAAAAAAGTTTTAAAGGTAGTGCACATCGTGACAGCTTTGCTTATGAATACACAGAAATTACTGCAAAAATAAATAGAGTGTCTTTTTAAAAGCAGCAATTTCATATCTTGTAAACTTCTGTTTTTACAATACAGCACTGTTAAGAGTAAAATCCAAAAGAACTGGAGTTTATACTGTGGCCACGAGCAAGTAAAAGAGTCTGTATTCCTCTGCTATGGTTGGTCCAGTTTTTCTTTTTGCTTTTAGTCCAATGTGCAGCAGTCTTTAAAGGTGCTTGGTTAGGGAACCTAACCATCAAGTGGTGAATTGTAAAATTTATTTCCTGCTTTCAAACACGAATGGGTAAATCTGTTCCACAGCACTGGCAACAGCCTTTACGTTTGGCCCTGAGATATATTAAAAAACAAAACAAAAACAACAAAGCAAGAGCAGCAGAAAGAGAAAAATCAGGGAATCAGAAATTAAAACAATAGTAACTTTAAAATAACCTTAATATTTTTAGCTACCATAACTTTATACTGTAGACAAAAATAATTTCTTCCCCATTTCTCCCAACTTAAGAATGTGTTCCTCTGATCACTTTTACTTACAAGAAAAGACCCTTACATGAAATCTGCAAGATGTTGTACACTATTCAATGGCTATACTGCAAATAAATAATATTGTCATTTAATTTTGTAACAACTTGGGTGCTTTTCAATTTACTTGCTTAAACAGTCAGCCCAGAGAAGAAGACAGAGGCTGAGTGGCAGAGGTAAAAGAAATACTTTTACTTATGCTAATCTTCTAGGAATTTTTATTACTCAAAGACTAGCCGCTTGTCCTGGTTTCAGCCAGGGTAGAGTTAATTTTCTTCACAGAAGCTAGCGTGAGGCTGTGTTTTGGGACTTGGGATGAGAAAATGTTGATAACGTGCTGATGTTTTGAGTTGTTGCTGAGCAGTCAAGGACAGTGCTGGCCTGCCAGCAAGAAGGCTGGGGGTGCACAGGGAGCTGGGAGGGGACACAGCTGGGACAGCTGACCCAGGCTGGCCAAAGAGATATTCCCTACCATACAACGTCATGCCCAGTACATAAAGGTCAGACGAAGAAGAAGGATGGGGTGGAGGGAGTTGGGAGTTATAGCATCATAGTTCTTCCCAAGAAACCATTACGTGTGATGCAGCCCTGCTTCCTTAGAGATGGCTGAACACCTGCCTGCCCATGGGGAGTAGGAAATGAATTCCTTGTTTTGCTTTGCTTGCGCATGCGGCTTTTGCTTTACCTATTAAACTGTCTTTATCTCAAACCATGAATTTCCTCACTTTTACGCTTCTGATTTTCTCCCCCATCCCACCATGGGGGAGTAAGCAAGCGGCTGCGTGATGCTTAGCTGCTGGCTGGGACTAAACCATGACACCAGTTTTATCTCTTCTTTTAAAAACCTACTAACAAAAACTATTGCTAAATAATCCTGGATTTAACCCAAGTATGTTTCAAGCAAGGCTATATTATGTTTGGAAATTATAGACCATTACTTTCTAGTCTGGGTTTTGCAAATAGCTCCACCATTGATCTCAGGACAAAACCTGCAAGCCAGAGAATGGTTACTGACTCAGGATGAAGCTTCTGAAGGTTATCTAACATGACCTATGAGCATTCGGGGAAAAAAAAAGGAAGAATGAACTATCGATGCTTTCTAATGGTACTAGGCCATTTTATGCAATGAACAATTAAGACTGCAAACAAGCCAGCAGTAACGTGCCAGAAGAAATTAATCCTGGATAGAAGTTTGGTGATGCAAATAAATGAAAACAGCAATTTCCCAAGTGCTTTGATGACCGTAAACTCGGGGGGGGGGGTGTGGGTTATCTCACTTTAGATTTCAAAAGTTTCTTCCAAGTACTGAGAAGTGTTCAAAATGGTTCTCAAAAATAATAACTTGGTTAAATAAGTTATAAATTACTTATTTAAGTAATTATGGAAATAGTTTTAATTTACACGCTCAGTCAGAAAGAAAATGGAATGGAATAGGGTTCTTCTGGTATTTTCAAATTTGTCAAACTGAGTTAAGCACTGACCTAAAACAAGCCTGGTGAAAGATACCTGCCTTCTGGGCAGATACTGCACTTTCCTTAAATTTGTCTGCTATTATAGCAATGCAAGTTCTAGAGACAGCTTTCAGAAAGTAAGAGTGTGAGTAGGCAAATCTTGTTAAAAAAAAAAAATGCTACTCCCTGTAGTGTTCAAGAGATGTAAAAACTGGATCATCATTGCAGGGAGTATGAGAGAAGAAAACAAAACCCAAAACCAACACCCTCATCGCTCATTTTAGAGGAAGAAAAATTAATACTTCCTCCTACTTCATAGAAGTTCTTTTTGTTTTCTTTTCTCAATGTAACTCTAAATCTTTCTATACTTGTCCCATTAAAAAAAAAAAACCTTCTTTTTTTTTAAATAACATTTCTAATTATGTATCTCAAATAAAATTCTTTAAGATAGTGGCATGACAAATACTAGTACTACAGGAACATGAATGGTCAAAAGGAACCTCATCTGAACACATCTGAGAGGGAATACAGTAAGGTTGAAAAGTAATTTAAAACATTTTTAGAACAATAAGCTGAAGAGACTGAACATTTTTTTCCCTAGAAGAAAGGACTAGGCAAAACAGAACTTTCAAAAACAACAGAGGTCTGAGATATTTCAAATTCACTGTAACAAGTTGTACTGGGTTTGCATGGCCAGGTTTTGGTAGCAGGGAGGGCTGCAGGGGTGGTTTCTGTAAGAAGCTGCTAGAAGCTTCCCCTATGTCCAACAGAGCCAGTGCCAGCCGGCTCCAAGACAGAGCTCTGGCTCTGGCCAAGGCCGAGCCCGTCAGTGATCATGGTAGCGCCTCTGGGGTCACATAGTTAAGAAGGGCAAGAAAAAAAAAACCTGTGCACACCAACTGCAGCCAGAGAGAGGAGTGAGAAGATGTGAGAGCAACAGCTCTGCAGACACCAAGGTCAGTGAAGAAGGAGGGGCAGGAGGTGCTCCAGATGCCAGAGCAGAGAGATTCTCCTGCAGACTGTGGTGAAGACCATGGTGAGGCATGCTGTCCCCCTCCAGCCCATGGAGCTCCACACCAGAGCAGATCTCCACCTGCAGCCCGAGGAGGACCCCACGCTGGAATAGGTGGATGCCCGAAGGAGGCCGTGACCGCATGGAAAGCCCATGCTGGAGCAAGATCCTGGCAGGATCTGCGGAGCCATGGAGAGAGGAGCCCAGGCTGGAGTAGGTTTGCTGGCAGAACTTGTGACCCCGTGGGGGACCCAGGCTGGAGCAGTCTGTTCCTGAAGGATGGCACCCCGGAGAACGGACCCAGGCTGGAGCAGTTCGTAAAGAACTGCAGCGCATGGGAGAACCCCCATTGAGACTGTTTCCCATGGGAGGGACCCTACTCTGGAGCAGGCAAAGAGTGTGAGGAGTCCTCCCCCTGAAGAGGAAGGAGTGGCAGAAACAACGTGTGATGAACTGGCCGCAACCCCCATTCCCCGTCCCTCTGCACCGCTGTTGGGAAGGAGGTGGAGAAGTTTCAGGAGTCAAGTTCAACCCAGGAAGAAGGGAGGGGTGGGGGGAAGACGTTTTTAAGATTTGGTTTTAGTTTTCATGATCTCTACTCTGATTTGATTTGTAATGAATTAATTTTTTCCTCAAGTCGAGTCTGTTTTACCCATGACAGTAATTGGCAAGTGATCTCCCCCGTCCTTGTCTCGACCCACAAGCCTTTCGTTGTATTTTCTCTCCCCTGCCCTGCTGAGGAGGGGAGTGAAATTTGGTGGGCACCTGGCATCCTGCCAAGGTAAACTCACCACACAAGTAAACTGGAAGGAAATAAAACTTTGATGTTTACCATATTTGTCTTCATATTTGAAAGGACAATTCTGGAAGTATTAAAGTGATTTTGTCCCGTACATGGAGTAGTAAGAATCTTACAGAAAGGCTAAATCTCATTAGGAGGCTGACGAGACACGCCGAGAGCCTTTTATTACTGCAGTGATACTCAAGCTTCCTATTTATTTTAAATATAGTTTCTAGTTATGGCTAGGCCAGTTGCTCTGTTCAGAACATATACTGCGATCTTGAAATACTTTTTAGCCCTGTATTTTCAGATTATCAAATCTGATGGAGTTTGTCTTCTTTAAAAAACACTTCTGATTCTTGTGAGGAATGTTCCCCATAAAGCCTACGTTCTTGTTAAGGAATTAAGATGTGAAAATAAAAATCCCTACCCAACTTCTGAACCAGTAGCAGAGTTCTAACAACCGCAAGATAGAATTCCCACTGAAGTGATATAAAGTGATGTTTTTTGGTTCTGTGCCATTTTATCACGTATTCTCTAAAAAACCTGACTTCTTGTATCTGGAAACCTGTGGTGGAGACCTCACAAAAAAAAACATAATGAAGAATGGAAAATGAAAATGAGGAAGAGAGAGGAAAAATCATGGCATGGCCTCTCCAAGACCTGGGACAATCACTTCTCTGATTACATGGGAAAGATCACAGATGCCTGTGATTCAGGTGGTGGTTCTCTCTCAGTTGAGCTTTAACAGAAGAGAGCATAAGTTTGAAGAACTGCAAGCATTGGTCAACTTCAGTTACGACAAAAGGCTATGCTATCCTATACATTTCCATAAATCTCCAGTTTGGAAACATGCGTTTATGAAAGGAATGTTAATGCTACACGCAGTGCAGTTCACAGCACTATGAAGGAAGAAAATGCAAATATTTAAATAAACAGTAAATATTTGCATTCTCAAGTCCCATCTCACTTTTCTTTTTATAAAAACCAGACTATGTACTTTCAAAATAATTTTTGAGCCTACTAATAATAACACTTTCTCTACAGCTCTTCTGGCACTTCCACTCAAAAAGAAATTAGGTGCTAGTACAGAGAAACAAAATACCCTCAACCTATATTTTGAATATTTTAAATATCTTCCTTTCCTAAACCTACTGTCCCTAAAGTTAAATATTCCCAACAAGTTAAATATTTATTTTTTACATCAAAATACCTGTAACTGTGATACTGCCTGTGGAAAAAATCTGTAAGGTAGCTCTGAGAGTTTTTATTCTGTAACACACGGCAGGATGAAGTTCTGGTTCGTAACTAGAAAACAAAATAAAAGGTAAAAAAGATAGATCTAGAACTGAAAAAGAAAAGTTTAAGAAGTATATTAAGACTATAATTCTTTAAAATCCTACCGTACCTTGCATGAGGTCTGTTATTCTTTGTAAATTCTGGCAATCTGATCTCAAAGGGCATGTTGCACACTGCTAAAACATTCACAACTTTAAAATCTGTGAAAATTACCTTTTCAAAAGAGAGGAAAAAAAAGACATTAGAAATTCAGTTTATGGCAAGGCAGATATATGGGTTGAAAAAAAAAAGTTATAAGAATACAAATTAGAATATATTGATGAGATTTCAAAATTAAAACCTTGTGATTGATGCGTTTCTAATAGGAATCTAAACAGTACTTAATGGACTCAAATCGCTTACTTTTTTCTTCTATTGTACAGTAACTGTTGAACTAGTTACTTCACAGTTGCATTATACAGTTATAGTACAGTTTAAGGATGAGACACAGAAACAAATCATAAAGCTGTACTAAACATCTCAAATTTAAAATAAACTAAATTAAATAGCTCATGGCACATCAAAATAAGCAGGGAAAAAGCTTACATTTCATTGTTACAAGAATCTTACGCAACCTTAAAACTTCTTCAATGCCTTGTTGCTATACACTATTTTTATTAAAGCTAAGAATAAGAAAGTGAAAACAGTTTTGTTTCAAATCTCCTGTGGCCAGTATGGCAAGCTGTTTTTCTACTCCGTTACTTTCTGAAACCCAGCTCAAACTACTGGCTTTCAGTTATTCTTTACCACAGCCATTTTAGATGACAATAAAGTAACCAACAGACAATTCCTAAACAAACACACTGCTGAGATGTCAGTGTTGGCAATATCACTGAAGAAACTTCTGTTCATTTTCTGAGGTTGTCTAAACTCAAAATGACCATTCCTCAGTCAAAACTCTTTAGAAGGACACTACCACTACAAGCAACTTATCCCTATAAAAGGTCAACTATGAATTTAATCTTCAAAATATATTCCACTTAAACTGCTCACTTTATAATAAAACTTGGTGCATCTACCCTGGAAGCACTGTTCACCTCACCAATTTAATGTTCCATTCCGATTTTAAAAATCTAAATTCTGATTGGGTTTGATGCAGCATTACCAGGATAGCTTGTCACTGCTGCCTTTATGTACTACAATCAAAAGGTAGCCCCTCCCTGCCAAAGGACCAGCCACTGTGTCTACGTAATTGTCTGTCCATAAACTGAAAGTCTGGGTAAACAGCACAACTGACTACCAGGAAATTTTAGAATACTAAAACATGTTATTTTAAGTCATTCACATTGCTGTTTTTCAACCTTTACTATGAAATGCAAGTGGTGTTTTTGAGTAGTAACCCAAACTCAGAAAAAAAGAGGCGTTTCGTGTCCTAAGTATTTTATTTGGCTTATTTCCCGCTGTGGAGCCTGACAGCACAGAAGCACTTTTTTTCCCCCCTCTAATTAGAGAGGCTCAAACTTGCCCTTAATAAGATGGACCAGTATCTACTATTCCATCAGAAACGAGGGAAAATTATGTTCAAATGACAGCTAAGTTTATACTCTTCAGCACTCCTTCCAAATAAATCTTTCCAGATATTGTAAATTCTATCCAAGAAACATCTGTGGGTGGTTTATTTATTAAACAAATTTTGTTGTTCATTAGCCAGTGAAGAAGCACTACTCTGAGCTGCCAAATGAAACTCAAATCCACAAAATAAAATAGCTTCTCTTTAACCAGCATCTGGAAAATGTATGCCAACACAAATGGGGCATCTGAGTGAAAACAGGCTCACTGCTAAATTGTTGCACTTCCTCGTTTTTGTTTCTTCCTAAAGAATGGACTACCAGCATTGCTTGAGTCATGCAAGTCCTTTTTCATCAGAATTACCTGAAAACCTAGTTTCTGTAGACTACGAGCTAATCGTCTGGCACCAAATTTAGCTTCTTCTTCACTATAAAGGAAAAAGAAAAGAATCTAGCATTAACAGGAATACAGTATATATTTGTGTGCACACATACCACAATAGCTACTCAGACTCCAAAACAAACCTTTATATCATGTAGTGCATGAACCATGAATCACATGGACAGCATTCATTTTGTCCTACTGTACGTATTACGTTTTAACTATCTAGATATTCAAATGGGAGTCCTTTATGCCCTGTTCAAGAATATCTTGGCATTCAGCTCCAGCTGAAGTAGGGGATGCATTTTGATCATACCTGATACTAAATACTCTTCAGAGACAAATATGATCACGAGTAGTCTGGAGTTAACATCCTGAACAATCATTTTCCATTTTGAGACAGAGACCATACACAGAAAAGTATGCAAATTTATTATTATTCCTTATCCTTACTCCACAATGCAGATATATCTTAAAGGAATTCAGCTGTTAAGAGATTAGCAAGTCTCAGATGTACCTAAACTGAGAGTCTGCTTTTGCTTCTTTCCAGTCCCTCAACACTGTAAAACTTGATTAAATTCAGGTGGGTTTTCGTGAAACCGTAAGAGATATCCCTCAAAAACGGTCATCTCTTCCCAAGTTTCAAGTTCTGGCTAAAAATACAGAATTCTTAAAGAGTTCTCAAATGAAACCTTTAGGATTTTCTTCATAAAGTAGTTTGCCCTGCTGCTCTCCCAGAAGACTGAACTGATGTTGCTTAAGATTTCAACTTCACATTAAAAACTTCCTCCCAAATCCGTAGCTTCACAAGGATCTATGTGTGATCCACTGTAAGTGAATCTTAACGGTGGCAAGTACTGCCTCTTGCCATCTTCTTCTCATTGTGTTTTAAAATACACAGTATTTAAAATACAATTTAAAATTGTAATTTTAAAATTACAATTTACAGCTAGAGAAAGAATCTTCATGAACTCACCTTGTGGCTCCTGTGCAAATAACTTTTCCTGAGGACCAAATTGTGGCCGTAATCCTAGGTTTCCTAAGCTTCATTAATACTTTCTAAAAATAAAAAGTGGAAGAATTGGGCATTAGTGGTAGTTCAATTTCATACTGGGAAAAAAAAACCTAATCAGCTATTAGTCAAGTCATTACACTAATAATACTTCCTTTATTTTTGATAGCCTTGAATTGCTCCTTCATCTCTTTCAGTAATTAAAAACAAACAGCTCCTGAAAAGAGCAAAGTAAGCATGGAGTATCTTAGCCAGTGATTCAGTGTTCACAAACCAGATTAAATGAAGGTATCTTCCTCTGAATAAAAAGCTGAAAGTCATGAGCATTGTGCTAATTTTTTTCTTATTACAGTGACTCCCACATTGCCGACTTCTTATCAGGATACATTTTCTTGACAAAACCATCATGTTTTGAGAGGCAAAATGGACTCTGAGGTGTAAGAGGTCTCATCACATACCTTACACCAAATATTCACCTCACTAGTTGCAGTCTTCTGAGACAGTATTTACCCACTCCCCTTACTGTATGTTTAGTGTATGACAGACTAAATACCTATGAAGACAGAACTATAGAAATAAAACTATGCTTTTCTCTATTCACCATACACGGATATCAGACACAAGAATGTTTAGCTTAAGCAACATTTGTCAAAACAGATAATTGAGGTTATGTTGAAACTCTTACCCCAACATCACGCTTGTATATCACATTTGCTCCCTCTAATGCGATCTTCCTCAAGTTTAAATGACATCTTGTTCTAAAGACACACACTACATTTGTGATTAAAATGTCCAATGCAACATCACTGTCCGCATCCATTGGGGTGATTTACAACTCAGTCTTCCCACCAGCTCACCATGAAGATCACATCCTGAGAAACAAAAATGATAAAATTAAACATACCAGCAGAAAACTGCCTATTAACACCATTGTTTACATCCGTCCCTTAAATGAGACAAGAAGCAGAAGTGACTACACTCTGACTCATTTAAGTTAACTGTGTGTGGGGAGGGAGGGTGTCTGCATCCTGTATGCTAGAAAATAGGAGGTTACTTGTTTGAAGCCGTGTTGCCAGACTTACCAGAAATAAAGTGTGTATACCCATATATATAAAAAAAAAAACAAAACCCTAAACTTGCCAGTTAAATATATTACAACTCTTACCAACTATATTAGGAAAGAGTAAAGATTACTGAAACTTTTTCCATAGCTCCAGTGGATAATCTTTCCTCAGTTCATTTGAGGATGTCATTAGACACCTCAGGAAAATGCACTCTCTGACTGCTGAACTTGATAATTCTGAACAGCTTGACGTTTGTGCTGGGATGGATGAGCCTGCTAAATAACTTTGAACTAACATGGGTTACACAAACTGCAGCTTGTAGACAGTCTGCTACCACAGCTTTCCCATCTTCATCCAGCACTCCTGGCCTATCTCTCACAATGTAATAGCATAATGCGAATTATACAAAATGTCCTGGTGGCAGCAAAAGCCTGGGCTGAGCTGCAGTGGCCTCTCACCCCCTTCTGCACTGCCCACAGGAACTGCACAGAATGAACGTATTGTACACACAGAGTAAAATCAAGTGTTTCTGAGGAAAAGCATGAGTAACCGTGAAGGCACAGGAGGACCGCTCACTGCACACCCAGAAAACCTAAGGCAGACAGGAAGCGTTCAGTCTACCCGTGCACATTGAAGGTGACACTCAACCCAAGGAGGAAGATCATAAGATGGGGAGTTGGGCTAGCACTCAGGCCAGCCCGAGGCTGCCTGACATCTCTTCTGTAAGCATACCAAAGCCAAGGCAGTGGACATCTCAAATAAAACTCAGGTTAAGTATTTGGGGAAAGGAGAGAGAAAAAGAGCAAGAACATTAGTATATAGTGAAAAGGACTTGTATCCAAATACTGGAGTTTATTAAGGAATTTTTCTTTGTAGAAGAATGTAAAAATCTTAGTTTTACTCCAGGAGAAGTAGCTTAAGTAGAGCATAGCCTAAGAGATAGAGGTAATATTATCTTGATCCATTAACCTACAATTTTATCAGTATCTCATCCAAAATGAACACAGCAGAAAGCAAAGAGCAAAATCAAAGAAAAATAGTCAGACATATGAAATACTGTACATGGTCACTGCAATGGAGGCAGCAGGAGACTACGCATCAAGAACAACATATGTAACAGACTGCAATGAGTTTACATCACTTTAAATGTTTTTGCCTTGCATACCGTATCAGAAATCTTCAAAATAAAAAATTAACATTATTTATCAGTACTTTCATCTGACTATGACTTGCTAAATATCATGCCATACTGTCTAATCGAGAACTCACTCAAGGTGCATCTTTGACTACAACTCACTGACAATACAGAAGTAATAAACTACGAAGCAGATGTGCATAATGTACTGGGTCGACTGCTGTGATGTTTGCTGCTTCTACTGTGCAGCTTGTTCCCGGCTGAAAGAATTATTCTATAATTAATGGCTTGTCCAATATAAGAGAAGGCAAAACAGGAGGTAACACAGAAAAGCAATGAAGAAACAGTAAAAGAAAACCAGAAAAACCATAGGCTGTGTGTGTTGTGTGTAGGGGGGAAGCAGGAAGAAAAGAACAAACAGTAACTAATTAATATTCCCAGACCCTCCCCCCTTTTTTAAACCAAAAATTATATGAATTCTCCAAGTTAGAAATTACTTATCCCATCTGGTTTTGATGGACTACTACAGATTGGCTTAGCAATTTATGGCACCAGATCCAAAGATAGCACATGTGCAGATTTTGAATGGCATGCAGGCAGGGCCAGCACAGAGCAAGGAGCTGGAACCCGTGGCATCTTCAGAGAGGCGTTTGTTTTCCACCCTGGCTCCAGCTTCCAGCTCTCACTGAGTCCACTTACGGCAACCCTGAAACGATTGCTGTATAAGAAAACAAGATTCCTCCAACCAGCAGTGTCTCCCAATTATCAGCAAGTTTCTACTGGCACCCTCAAGCTCTACATTCTGAAAGAATAACACCGTCATGCATAACACCCTTGAAAGGTTGCTAACCTCTAAGCAAACCATAATACTGTACAATAACGTTCCCATAAAACTCTGATGGCTTTTCTCCCCAGATCTGTTTAAGACAAGTCACGTGCTCATTCAGAACAAAGGAAAAAGTGGTTGAAAGAGAGGGAATTTACAATTTAAAAGGAAAAGAGCTATCATTAAAGGAAAAAAGAACATTAATATGCTGTGGAGCTGTCAGTAAGGATGTTTTCAGCAATTATGGTGTATCTTGGTTAGAAGTACAATCTACTTGCATAGATTTTAATGGGACAAAAATTACACAACGTTATAGTAGTGTGCCCCCATTTTCATTAGCCAGGTCCTGAAAGTTGGAAACAACAGGTATTTAGGGAGGAGCTTTATAATCTGAAATTTAATTTGTGCTGTAGCTAATATTCTAGACTACACTTTGTGATATTCTGTTAAAAAGGAACATAATTTGTTACAGAAGCAGTATCTGAATGCAGTGTAAAAAATACTTTATTCTACTTTAATGTTATTTGATCTAACAGAAGCACTTCATTGTTAAACTTTTCACTCAAATATCAAAAATTTCAAATATTAATTACCTAGTTTTTCTCATTTGTATTGAGAAAACTCTTTATTTGCTGCTGCTAAATAATACCCATGTTTGTTGAGAACCTGAATCTAAGCTTCAACAATTTTGAATACATCCATCCCCATTCAGTATACAAATACAGTATTAACCTCTTACAAGGCACGGTTTAGAAATATTAGGTAAACCAAAACATTTTCAGACTTGGATACTTCTGTCCAAGCAGTGAGCGAGCATAACCTATTACAACCTCTACTTTAAGCACTCATTTTAATGTCTCACACTGTACTGACAACAAAGAAAAAATCTAGAGAAAAGATGTCCTGCTACCTTTCTTTGGGAAGTCTCAAATAAATCTGAATTCACAGGAACCATGTGAACAGAAGCAGGCTAAACATTTTTTAAAAAAATAATACATGCACTATATTAAAAAAAATCTGAAAAATGTTTTTTATAAACAAGGTGTAACAATTTTCTCATCTAAAAAATGAAAGACAGACAGACAGAAAGACGTTGTTCTTATTTACACATATTTCCAGTAGCATGACCAGCTGGAACACAGGGGTCCTAAACAACATTCTCATCCTCCTCTTTCCCAGTTTTCTCTTGTCTTCTGTGCTATTGATATATACATAGAATCATTTAGGTTGGAAAAGACCTTTTAGATCATCAAGTCCACCACTAAGCCATGGCCCTAAACACCACATCTACATGTCTTTTAAATACCTCTAGGGATGGTGACTCAACCACTTCCCTGGGCAGCTTGTTCCAATGCTTGACAGCCCTTTTGGTGAAGAAATTTTTCCTAATATCCAATCTAAACGTCCTCTGGCACAACTTGAGGCTGTTTCCTCTTGTGCTATCGCTTGTTACTTGGGAGAAGAGACTGACACCCACCTCACTACAATCTCCTTTCAGGTAGTGTAGAGAGCAATAAGGTCTCCCCTCAGCCTCCTTTTCTCCAGACAGAGCAACCCCTGCTCCTCATAAGACTTGTGCTCCCTGCTGCATAGCCCTGACCCATTATGTTATTTCCCAAGACCTGAATTTCTGCATTTTTGTCTCCTATCTGCAAAATGGGGAAAATAATGCTCTCATGCTTTTACAGATACATTTTGAGATCAAGCAACAGCCTTACATACACGCCTGTTACTATTCCATATTTATGCAGTTACACTTGCAGAACAGAGGGACTGAGTAGAAACCAAACATCTGGTTCTTTCCTGTTCTGGATTTGCAAATGCTCGAGTTGATTTCATTGAGCTTAGCTTAGGTTTTGTTCATTAATTTTGCCCAAACATTCTCTCATCTGAACCTTCGAATTTTGGCAGCTTAAATCTCATTTCTAAAATTATGTTTTGCCAGTTAATGCTAATTTAGTAATAGGCTAAAATTGAAAATAAATAATTTACTTGTCTATATGTGCAGCATTTCTTTTAAACTATATACTTAATTCAGCGTTCTCCAGGGCAAGAAACTAGCCAACTTAAAATCAAAGTTCTCTTGTACCAGCATAACACAACCTACCCCGACAGAGAAAAAAAGCTTAAATACATCTCTGCAGAAGTCTGTGCTATTTTATTTTATCAAGGAAATTTCTAAAGTTTGCTCTTTCTTTTCAACATAGATTTCAGGGATACATCTGGAATATTACCCTAAAAAAAAAAAAAGAGGAAGGGAAAAAAAGTAGACAGGTAAAGCATGATAATGGACATAAAAATAAAAACAACAACAAAAGCTAACTCAAGGATATTTGACACTGCAAAGTAATGTATGCTACACTGAAACTAAAGCAACTTCCCAGGATAAGAAGTACTTTGGAGGAAGGAATGAGCACTCAAGTTCTTAAACAAAGCATTACCCATACATCCCCAGTTAGGACCATACTACTTTAGATACTGTATAAACACACATAAAGACAAACACCCTGCACTGAAATCTTACAATCTAAAAAAAGCCAGCACTCTGTCTTCCAGAAGTTCCAAACCAACCACACCATTGTCATCAAAAAGAGAGGAAAGGCACTTGGCATGGGGTATATAAACAAAGTATTATTTTAAGCTTTTGGCTACCTTTGATCTGAGAATCTCAGAGCTATAAAGGTAAATGGGGAGTATTGAACAACGGTTACATTAATGTCAGAACAGTTTAATAAACACATTTTTCAGCAGCAGCCTAACTATATGCAACTTCTACTGGTTATTTTTAACTTTGCTCCAAATCTGTTCACCAACTGACCAACCCCACAAACAGTTCCAACAGTCCAGCT